AAAAAAAGAGAAATTTTAAACGATAAAAATTTAATCTTTTATGGATTTTACATATATACCTGAATAATATATATCGAGGACTTAAAAAAAATTTTTCAATTAAAAGAGTTTCGAATTAAAAAGTTTTAGGAAAGGAATTATTATATTGTGTAAATATATGTTTATTAAAACAACGTACGTAGCGTAAAATAAAACCGCTCGACTGCCGTGAGAGAAATCCGCGAGCAAGGCGACCCAGCTCGTAAATCGTTGTAATTCATAAGTATTAAAATAGGATAAAGTATAAAGAGAAAAAGAAGGGTTGCCTCCTAAATGACCAGAGTCAGGGTAAACAACCCGAAAACGCACTTTGCGCAAACTGATTAACAATTTTTAATCGAGATTTTATCAGTCTAATGGTTGATGTATATATTTTAAATCTTCAAATATAATTATCAAGTATATGTATATATATACACACATATACAAATTAATAAAATAATAAATTATTAGTAATAATACAAAAGAAAATTCGATGACAAAATTGCCTGTGTGTTTTTTCTAATTAATACTATCAATTAAGCGACTATCAATGTCACATCTCTGTACGTCAAGAGTTAATCAAGGAAGTGACAAGCTACCCGTTGTTGTCGCTCGAGGCAAAATTTGCGTTCATATTTTAGCCCTGTCAATCGGCTCGAAAACTAATATGTATACATAATAAATTGCTTAATAATTATGTACGATTGTTCCGGATGTACCTTGATAGAGAATTTGATGATCGATAGTCGAGGCTATGTCATTGAACCTTGATTCAATCGTCGTGTATGCGTTCCGCACAAACAAAGAAAGCCCGAAGATAAGGCCATCGATAATCACGGTCACCCTTTTCTCGCGTGTCCTTCTCAGAGAGACAAAACGATGATCGACAAGTACGTCTCCTACGTCGAGGCTACGTTATACCGCCGTACGCCCGCCGTACGGTGAAGGGCCCGCGTAGAGGCCACGAACGAGATTGGTAGTCCTTGGCAGTGCTCCTTCGCCAACGGCGCGGGCAAAAAACGAGCATCAGGGAACGACGATGCGAGCGAGCGTACAAGGAAGGCGACAGGAACCGCCGCCGGGATCGGGTGCCGCCGCGAGAAAAAGTGGGAGAGGTCAGTCCCGGCGGATATAAGGGGTCCTAGACGCCGTGTCCAAGCATCATTCGCTCTTCAGCACTCCTGCTCCGAAGTACGAAGTAACTCGACCCGCAACAATCATCATGTACAAGTTCGTCGTTCTCGTCGCTCTGTTGGGCTGCGCCATGGCCGCACCTGAACCCGGCTACCTGGCGGCGCCGGTCGTCGCGGCGGCGCCCGCGGTAGCGGTCGCCCATACCGTCCCGGTCGCCACCAGCTACGCCAACACCTACAAGGTGTCCGTCAAGAGTCCACTCGTGGCAGCAGCCCCTGTCGCCTACACCGCACCGATCCTCAAGGCTGCCCCGGTCGTTGCCGCCGCGCCGGTCGCCTACGCCGCCCACGCTCCCGTCGCCTACGCCGCTCACGCTCCCGTCGCCTACGCCGCTCATGCCCCCGTCGTCGCTCTTCACTAAGGGAATCTCATCCCTAACCATTTTTCCATCCGGACGCAGCGTCACGATGACGATTCATCGAAACGATCGATCCATTGATCCACCTGCAGATCTATCAGACTAATCTTGTACCAGCCAGATCGCGCGGTCAAACGACCGATCGCTACGATCAATCAATAAAATTTGCCATTTTTGCCTTCATGTAAAGGTGCCCTATATTTATTTAATCCTTATTATATAATCCCTTCAACTGGAAGACGTATAAAGTTAAAATTTGTAATATATGTATATATTTATATATATATTTCAGAGTTTTAGATTTAACAGTTTGTAATTTCCAAGAGTCTTTCTATATTCTTACAATTAATAAATATTAACAAATTTTTTTTTAAAAAGTCGCCGAGTAATATAATAACAAGCGTTGTGTCGCGTAAAACATTCCCTCCTGACGGTTATGAAATTTCATCTATTTCGTTCTCATGCCACACGCTATCACGCCTAAGGGATTAATTCCTCCATATCACGTACTATCCGAGCTTATCGAGGATCGCGGATCCTTTCTTCCTCGCTCGCTCGACCGATCCCGGAGAGTTCCAACTTTTTACTCGCACGGACGATGGGCAAACACGAAGCGTCGTGATCACGGGGTGATTTCGTTCTTATATAGTTTTTTTTTCTTTTCTTCTTTTTTTTTTTTTTAGATACACACATCGCGCGCGGGCCACGTCCGCGTAGTACGTCCATCTACCTACCTATCCGTTTACGTGAGGCTTTTCTCAAAATAGGATTTGGAAGGACTCGATGAAAAGTGTTTACCGACTTGGCGATCAACGGTTGTTTGAGTTTCGGCTTTAGCTCCGTTGCATTCCCCTCGCACTCGACAATCGCGAGCGAAACTTTGCCGCGCGCCATCGGGTCACGTATTGAATATATTTGCAAGAAACATATAAACCCGCCTGTGCACTTTTCACGAAACTAACTCGCTACATTCTTTACGAGAGCTTTAAAAAAGTCCCTTCCCCCCCGAAAAAGAAGAGAAGGAGGAAGAAAAAGATAGAAAGAAAGAGAGAGCAGAGGCGAATTATTCAATATCGCATCTACGTTTGCGAAGAAAAGTTATAGATGTATCTATACATATGTTATGTTAACACGCGCTACATGTATTGAATATATCAACTTTCGTACATTCAAACTGCATGTGCTTTATATTAAAAAAAGAATTATATGTTTACTCTTTAAAAAATATATAATCCTGAAAATATATATAATATTAAAAATTTTGAAATATATTGAAAATTAAATCTCTTGATAAACATCTATTTAAATGAAGGGAAAAGACAGATATTTAAAAGTTTCCCCCCAAAATTTACAAAATTTGCTACTTTTTTAATCACTTTTTGATAATTCTTAAAATATAATTCAATTAATTTTATTTTTATTATTTCCGAATTTTATTATTTTCATTTTAATTACAATATCGTTCCTTGTCGAATTTGCCATCGTTAGTATGATAAAAACGAATAAATGAGATTGTCAAGATTAAGCGCGTTTTCGGCTTTAATTTTACGCTCGAGCGCTTTTTATGCGTCCCTCTGAGAAGTACTAATACCACTCTTTTTTTGCTTCTATGGCGTAAGTGCTTATTGTTACCGCGACGTGAAGAGTAAAAGTAAAGTCTCGAGATCGCGTAGAGGTAGCACCTTTGTTCGACTGTCAAGCGTACTACCCCACAAACTCATGACGATGGCAAAAAGCTTAACGCTTTCAGAACCAACAAGCGGCAAAGAATGTAATCCGTATATCCTTTATCCATGTCTTGATTTTCGTAATGCAATATATTGCTAATCTATTTCGCACAGTTTCCATCTAATTGTATATATTTTAATATTGGAATTCTTTTTAAAATTTCTTGTAATTAATTTACAATTACATTTTTTATCCTTATTTTTAGAATGAGAATCACTAAATTAAAAGACATTCTCTTAAAATACAGTTTTCAGAATACAAGGAGAGATATATCTCGGAAATTTCGGGAATCTTTAATATTTTACGCGAACCAAGAATTATGTTTTATAAGAGTATATATTACACATATATATACATATATTTTCAGACAAGAATGTGGATGCCTTTGTCGCATTGAATATTTCTTAACGCGTTAAACTAGATTCGCAGGATGTGAAGCTCTAATTGCACGCATCTTGAAGTTGAAGGTCTCTTTCGAAGATCACCCCGGGGGATATTACTTCCTTATATAAACACGCGAAGATCCGCGTGCATGCAGATCGGTCCCAGGTTCTGATCGAAAAGTAGTGAAAATCCGTCGTCGTGCTTAGACTGGTAAGACTAGTGTTTTTTAAACTTGAATTGTTTAAACAATCGATAATTATCAAGAGAGAGACAATAAAATATATATAGGAAGATAATAAAAAGATAGGTAAAAGTGTATAAAAGGTAACACACTTTTGATTTTATTGCTACTTAAATATGTTGTAGGGGAGGTTTTTCTGAGTAATTCCCCGCAAAAAATTTATGGGGGACGGTATTAATTTAGGAGATATAACAAATTAAAGTTTCATAATTTTAATACTTTTTCTATTATAAAATAAGGAAAAATAAAGTTTGTTTACGTTGTATTTGTATAGAGCAGACATGGAAAAAGCGTTTGTTTACATTTACGGTACAGATTCCTACCTTCAACAAGACTTAGAAATTCATGTAGTCGCATGTTGAAAGCTGTTAGCGAACTGCGAGAAATATCGTGTACCTATTCCGTAAATGTAATTAAACACTTTTTCGTCTACTCTACAACAAATACAACGTACACAAACTTCACTTTTTCTAATTAAAATAAATAAATTTAATAAATATTTAATAAATAAATTTATATAATAAATAAAAATTTGTTGTTGATTTATGCAATTCTTTGTTGTGATCATTTTCACGTTTATGACCATTCGAAAAAATATCCATAGAACATTTAACAGAATATTAACGATCATGACGATCGAGTGGGAAAGGGTTCCAGCGTGC